AAAAGCAATGCCCCGGGTGAGGATCGAACTCACGACCTTAAGATTATGAGACTTACGCGCTACCTACTGCGCTACCGAGGCCATATTTTCACAAATATTTTTCTTATATATAAGTTAATAATACTATAAAATTTTTATTATAAAAGCTCGCTTTCTAGAACTTTAGAATTATTTCTAAAATAATTCATTAGATATCGTTTTAATTTTATGTGTACATTAATTGTGTTTTATTGAAAATTATTTTGTTATTATTTAGTATTTTTTTGAAAATATTATGGATTCTAATAGCTTTTAATAAATTTTAATCAATATGATGAACGTTTTGTTGCTTTTATGAAATACTCATAATTAACAATACATTATGTTTGAAATAATATATTAACAAAATAAATTCAAAATAAAATTATTAATATTAATAATAACAAATAATTATATGCTTGTTATTTATAAGCCACAAATTTAATTCCTAACTACAAACTTTTGTCTTCTTAAATAATAATTTACATAAATTTTATAACTACTATAAAATTATTATTATTTTTTTTTACTAAGGACGTGTGCGAGTTCGAGTAAATTGATGGTAAATTGAGAGAAATAGTAAATTATGTCGCTATAGCAGCGAATGTTGGTATTTACGAGAATTTTGAGTAGGCTAAATTAGATAAAAATTAAGTAAATTAGGTGTTACCATTGTGAAAATTTCATAATATGTTTAATAAATATATAAATAAATATGAAAACTTTTAACTAAAAATAATAAAAAAGTGCAATAAATAAATATATAAATATTTACATAAGTGCAATGCAAAAAATCCATATGAAATTTTAATTTACTTTACCTCAGTTATAACTATTATAAGATTATTAATATTTTTATACTAAGGTCGTGTGCGAGTTAGGCTAAGTTGATGCTAAACCAAATGGGAGATTTTTTGGGATTTTTTGCACTGCACACATTTAGCCATTTATCAACACGTATCGACACATCACTACATTATCGGCTCATTTTAGAATTTCCCTCATTTAGAACGCAACTTAGCTTAACTCGCACACGTCCTAAGTATGAAATAAAAAAACAATAATATTCATACAAACAATTTTTAACTAAAAATTTTGTCCTCTTTAATAATAAAAATATAATTTCTAACAAATCAAATATGTACCAGAAATTATTACCAGTTTCACATGCGTTCTAGACCTCTCATGAAATTAAAAATGGCGACTGATTTTATTTTTCCGTACGTTTACTAAAAGTTCCTTACGTACTATTGTGCATTTTTTAACTTTACATTTTTTCACTAAATACGCGAAAATCCGCAAAAAAATATATTTATTGAATTGCAAGCATTTTAAAAATTCCTTTGACAAAAGAGTCATATCCATATTAGAGAAAAAAACTTTCAAGGCATTTGCAAGTTCTGTATAAAGCTTAACTTGAAAGCTTTATAACTGTTGTCAAAAAGCTGCAGCAAATTCAAGTGCGCACTGAAAGCTTTATAATTTTGCACAGCTCAGCAAAACCCTGAATAGCAAAAAAAAATTGTTGGCAGTTCTTAAAAAGACGCTATCGGAAGTGGCGGCGCGCACGTGTGTAGCTAAAAAGGCTTGCAGCCGAAATAGAAAATTTTATATTTTGCAGTGTCGATTCAAAAACAATTAAATAAAAAATACTGTGAATAATACATTAAAAATCTTATTAAAAGAAACGAAAATCTTTTATGTTATATAAAGTGCGATAAAAAGTCAAAATTGCTTGAAAGAAAGTATATTATTTCTTTCTTTGAATTTAGCAAAATTATAGCTTTTCAAAGCTCTAAACAAAAGGTTGACGGCGAAAAGAAAAAACAACTTCAGAAGGTAAAATTAAATGAATGCAAAATAATTAAAACGCAGATAAACATTAATAAGCATCAAAGGTCATTCAACTCGGAAACAAGACAAACAAATTTTTTATAATAAAAATTTTAATTTGGTCGCGCCCGCATTCAGTGCAGCGTCCCCACAGCATTAAAAAATTGTGCAAACTACATTCAAGTGCATAACCAAAAAAAAGTGCGTATTTTTAAAAAAACAAAACTTTTGCTTTAACTGAACGCAAAACCAAAACATTTTCAACTACTACGCATAAAAAAAGCATCTGAGATGCAATTTTTGTCTAGAATAACGCAGCTTTGAAACTTTAAAAATATCTACAGAGTGCTCCCCTAACAAAAACAAAAACAAAACTAACAATAAAAACAAAAACAAAAGCAGCAACAACTAGAACAAAAGCAAAACTGCACTGCAACACCAGGCGTCACCAGGCGTCAGCCGGCTTTTTTAGTCACACTTCATGGTTTCTTGAATTCATGGTTTCTGTTTGCCTTCACACCTCCTGATCGGCTGTAATGTACTCTTACGCATTGCTAGAATGGTACACACACTATTTTGTGTTTCTTTTTTTTATCATTTTTGTTTTGTTGTAACTTCGGTTTCGTTCGCAAAAACATGAGCTCAAGCAAAATATAATTACGCCAGCAAAACACTCAAAAGCTCACAAATCACAATATGGTTTTTCACATACACACGCACACACACACACCAAAGCTCGGCAAGTTTTTTGAATGATTTGCTGAAGTAAAGTTGAGTTGCAGTGTTAAAGTACAAACACAACAACAAGAAAATGTAAAAAGCTTTTAGCGTTTTGCTTGGCGGTTTATGCATTTTTTGTGTTTAGATTTTTTTATTATGCGATGAGAGGTTTTTTTTATTATGAGATTCTTTTTTATTATGAGATTCTTTTTTATTATAATATTCTTTTATATTATGAGATTCTTTTTTATTATATGTTGATTTTATTTATTAATATTGATTTGATTATGCCTTCAATTATGTGTTGTTACTTAGAAATGGTTCCTACCACAATTTCATATTATGTATTTTAATAATTACTCCGTGTATTTCCCAGCACACTACGTTAAAATAAGATAGACATACATATAAATAAAATGGATAATTTTGTACAACCACAAAATAATTTTTCGTACGTAAAGCGTTGCGCCTCAAGTTTGAGTGTACTTATGGAAAATAATTGCTCAAATGACGGACTGGGAAGTGTTATTGATGACGGTCCACAAATAACAGAAGTTCTAAATATTCATTTCCCTCTAGAAGTTAAGGAAGAACAATATAATGAGGCAATAATTCAACAAAATGATGAACTTGACTACGAATATGAGAATAGTGAAATACCCATAGAAATTCCAACAATAACCGTCAGTAGTCCAAAACCGAGACGTTGTATATTCGGTTGTAATATTGCACGGGAAAAATTATTAAAATTTCCACAGGATCCGGAGCGGTAAGACAAATTCTAGTTTTTTTGATTACACAACACACATAATTCGAAGTATGTCTATCAATTATGAAAAAATTTTCATATAGGAATTACACACTTAGTACTGTAGGAATAAAAAGTAATAGCACTGTTTTAAAAAAAATTAATTTTTTAAAAATTATACTTATATTTTTCTATATAATAATATTTTATAATATAATATGTATAATATTTTTAAGAAATTCATTTAAAAAAAATTAATCTTTATACATTAAAATAAAAATACTGAATGATCTATTAGATTATTATAGTTAGTAACAGTTTATCTAAAATATGAAGACTAACTCTTCAAACTTAATGGAA